GGGCCTAGCCGGCTGAGCCCCGCATCCCTACTCTTCCTGCAGGTCAGCACGCTGCCCCGCCCCCCCCGCACTGTGACATAGATCTCCGCACGGGGACAGGTCACCTTGTTGTGGCAGACCCTGCTGGCGCCTCTTCCAGGGCCACTCCCAGTGTCCCTTCCTCCGCTGCCCGCACGCCCTCCTTCCTGATGAAATCCTGCCCGGATCAGGCCCTGGGCTATCAGGAGAGGTGGGCCTTTCCCCCAGCCCAAGGGGGTTGGGTCCCGAGCAATCTACCCAATTCAAGCAATTCCCTTCTCCTTGCCAGTGACTGATTCGGGAACGGACAGCGGGAAGAGAGGGGAGATCAGTTAGGGGCTTCTGGGAAAGGTCCTCCTGCTCCTGACCCGATCTGTGGGGCTGGGACCCCCCCTCCCCGGGGAGTGAAGGCAGCCATGCCGGGGACAGGGAGGAAGGATGACGGGACAGCAGGACCCCCTGAGGAGATGCACCAGGGGTGCAACAGATTTCCTAGCCCTAGTAGAAGAGGAGGGGTCCATGGTTTCCCATCTGCAGCAGGCCCGGGCTCCTTGCACCCCTGGGAATCTGGCTACCATCCCACCCCTGGATCTCCAGCATGACATCCTCGGGCTTTTTCTCAATTGTTTCTTCTGGTGTCTTTGTAGTATAAGGCCCTGTTGCAGCCACGTCTCAGAACTCTCTTCCCCCCATTTTGGTGTCTCTGGTCCTCGCACTTTTATTCTTCCCCTCGTCGTTGTCAAAGGCGGCTTTGAGCCCCAAGTGTTAGAACCACGTGACGAGAGAAAGGCCTCTGCCCAGCCCTCGGCGCTGACAAGCGTACAGACAACGACCAAGTGCAACTGAGGACGATGGGGACTGTCCTTCACAGGGCACTTGAGGGCTTTCCCAGTTCCTTCCCACACCTGGTATGATGTGACCTCAGAAGCCTGCTGCTGGGTTTTTGTCTCTATTGTACAGATGAAGGAAGAGCCAGCAGAAGGCAGAGGACTTTGACCAAGTTCGCAGCCTGAGCTGATAGGGAGCGCTGTCCAGGCCCAGAGGACAGAGGGCCAGGTGATCCAGAGTGGCTGGAGCAAACTGAGGGTGTGGGGCGGAGGGTGCCAGGAGAACCGGGAGGAAGGAACCCAGGCTGGTCATGGAAGTGCTCTGGGCAGCAGGTGAAGGACTTTTGATTTTCTCATCTGGCAGGGAGCAGTGGGCCTGGGTTTAAAGCTGGGGGGATGACATGAGCAGATCTGCAATTTACACACATCCGTCCCCAGCCCGCAGGTCTGGGAAAATAGGTTAGAGGTGACAGAGTGACAGGGAGACCCTAGAAGGGCATGCATTTAGGTAACGAGGCATAGGATGGTTTTTATCCCTGCTTCTTTAAGAAATGTCCACAAGGAACGTATATTACTTTGTTAGGAAGAAGGTGCTTTGTAATGAAAGGCAACCAGAAAGTGAAAGCGAGAGGCACGGCCAGGCCTATGGCCCTGGGGCGGGGGGGGGAGACGACCTGAACAGTAGGTGGGAGGATGCCCCGGGGGTGGGTGACATTTTCTGAGGGGCAGCCTTGGGCTCAGAACAGAGCCCGGGGCAGGGACAGATGGCATTCCAGGAGAGGAGTGTGTGGTATGAGGAGCAAAGAGGCCCAGGAGGAAGCGGGGCCCAGTGAGGTGAGGAGGTGTGCAGAGGAGAGACGCCCAGCAGGGAGCCGGGAGGGTCAGGGTGAGGGCTGGCCAGGGAGGAGAGGAATGGAGGGCCTACACAGCATCCCCGTGAGCGTGTGTGTGTGTGTGTGTGTGTGTGTGTGTGTGTGTGTGAATGCTTGCGGCTGCAGAAGGCCTAGCTGGGCCCTGGGGGGAGGCTGGAGGGAAGGCCAAGTGGGCTGGGGACTGAATGGAGGCCACAGAGGTGACAGAGGGGCCGGAGAGAGGCTCTGGGTGCCCCAGGACGGGGAGTCAGGGTGAGAGATGGCCGAGCAGTTACAGCTGGAGAGGCTGAAGGCAAGGTGTGTATGGGGGAGGGGACCAGGTACAGGGTGCCAATCCTCCTGCACCCTCGCCAGCTGCATGACCGTGGCTAGAACCTCAGTTTCCCCATCTCTTGAGTGAGCATCAAAAGGACCTTCCTCAGAGTGGTGTGGCGAACGGGAAATGAGAGAACCCGTGTGTCTGGCACAGGGAGCACCCCGCGCATGTCAGCTGCTGTTCTGGACAGGAAGGATGGACATGGGACGAGGGGGACTCAGGCAGTGTGGAGGCAGGACAAGGAGCTAGGGTGGGATTTGCACGGTGTGTCCGGGGACCCACGAGGAAGACGGTGGGCCAGCGGGGAGCCGGGGAGGAGAGCTGGTCAGGGGCGGGTAGGGCTGGGATGGCCGTCTCCGTGGGTTCCTCCAGGGAACCAGCAGCCCAGGGCTGTTGCAGGGCTGTGGGGTGGGAAGGGCTTTGTGATTCCTGGGCCCCGTCCTGGCTCTGATGCCACCTTGCTGTGTGCCCTCAGGAAGCCCCTTTCCTTCTCTGAGCTGCCCCTTCATCAGTGAAGAAGGGAGTTGGACTTGCCACCTCTAACCTACTGCCTCAGAGCCTAGAACCTTCTTCAGGTCACAGCACCTGGACATTTCACAGCGCCCATTCCCACCCTGGCACCCACAACAGGCCTGGCACGCAGGAGCTGCTCAGAAATACTTACTGAACCAAATGAGTGCACGAAAGGTCTCTCTCAATATCTAGGTCCAGGGACCACCCTGCACCTTCTGACCAGGCCACGCAGCGGGCCACAGGTCAGAAACACCCACGGCTGGGGCTGTCCCTTCTACACTGGCCCCAAGCCCGCTGACTTACATCTGACAGGGGGTACAGCATCCCTGCCGTCCCCACCCCACCGGGGGGGCCACAGTACTTCTCCCTTTCCCCGTTGACATCAGTGGAACCCACCAAAGCCCAAACACTGAAGAGCAGATGCAAAATTGGTTTCTCCCTCAGCTGGGAGATGGCCCGAGAGCCAAAAGCGAGGACTGATGACAGTGGGGTGCCCCCCAGAGAGCAGGGAGAGGAAGCCGAGCAGCAGCGAGCAGTGGCAGGAGGACAAAGGGACATCAAAGCCCCCTCCCACACCCCAGGGCAGGCCGGGCCTTGGAAGGCCGCGGGCCAGCGGGGACAAAAGACTGCTGGGTCCCCCTCCTCCAGGAGCAGCTGGGGAGAGGGCCTTCTCTGCCAGGTGGGGGTCTCCGGAAAGGGGAGTGGCCTGGTGGAAAATACGTGTTCTAAACCAGATCCAGAGCGCTGGGGTTGGCAGGAGGAGGGACAAGATGGCTCAGGGGACCGGTGGGGCCGTTCTGGCAGGGAGGAGGTCTCTGGGCATTTGGCAGGAAGGTGGCCACAGGCGTGCTGGCAGGAGCCGCCCCGCACACAGCCCCAACGCACAGCAGCGCAGGGGAAGGGGAGGGGCCAGGATGGGTCGAACCCCGCCCCCCACGGGGCCACGCCTACCTGCTGCTGGGCCTGGATCCTCATGTACTCCGCCCTCTGCTTGCCGTGCTTGCTTTTGTCGGGGCTTCCCGCCTGGCTCTGCACCGCCTTCAGCCGAGAGGCCCCTGGAGTCACCACCTTCATGGGTGGCACGCTGCCACCACCACTCTGCAGGAAGAGGAACAGGGTGGGGTTGAAGGTGGGATCACACAGGAATCCTAGGTGCTGGGTGGGGTCTCGGGGGCTGGGTCCTCTTCAGTGGGCCCTTTGAGAACTGGAGACCTTTGGACCTCCCTGCCTCCACATCCCTGGCCAGGACCCAGGTCCACTCTCCAAGGCCAGGGTTAAGGCCTCCCTGCAGAAGAGGGACAGGGGCCTCCCAGCCAGGTTCCCAGCAGCTCCCCAGTGACAGCTCTTTGGTGGTTTCCTTGAGTAGGCCAGGGGCAGCAGGTGCCTTCCGGGGAGCCACTTCTAAAGTGACAGTCGCTGCCATCACCCCCACTCCTGACGAGGTACCCTTTTCTGAGTCTCCCAGAGCATGCCTGAGATTTGAGGGGGGTCTTTATGACGGCAGACAGGGTGGGGCCCACATCTTCCTCTGAATGGGAGGATGGGGGTGAAGTCTCCCTAGAGATGGACAAGTCCAGCTCCTCTGAACCACCCCAATTCAGAGGCGCAGACAGAGAAACAACAGAGGCAAAGAGAGTCAGACAGGAGAGGGGGGAGGGGAGCGTGGGGATGGAAAAGGAAGAGAGAACTTTATTTGTTGGTTTATAGGTACAGAGCAGAGGGGAGAGGACCTGGTCCCTGCCAGGGCTGCTAGGGCCGATCCCTGGGTAGGCCAGCTTCCCAGCCTCCCGGGGCTCTGCCTGCAAACCCCACCCGGTGCCGGGCTCCCAGGAGGCTGGCAGGAGCTGACAAAAGGCCAGTGGCAGGAGGGGGCTGGCGTGGTGCTCCTGCAGACCCCCACTCCCTCCAGCTCTGAGGACTGAGAGACTGGAGCATGAAGGACCGAGAGGCTAGGGTAGGAGGCAGCCACCTGGGGACCGGGTGGCAGGGGTGGGGGGCTGCCAGGGGGTCCCGCGGCGAGGGCTGTGCCCATCTGGCTCAGGGCTTCTTCTAGCTCCCGGAGTGTCTCCTCCAGGCTGTCCATCCGCTGGGTGGTGGCGCCTCTCACTGTGCAGCCTAGGCCTGCAGCAGGCTGGGCCCTGGGCTCCCCACTGCAGTGTTGGGCATCCTCTCCGGTGTCCTTGGGGGTCTTCTCTGGCTGGGTCTCAGCAGTGGAGGGCTCCTGAGTGCCGTCAGGGGCTGGTGCCCAAGGGCAGGGAGCCCCGGCGCCTCCTTCCGCTGGGCTGCAGTTCCCTATCCCCAGTCTCTTCAGAGCTGCCCCTTCCTTCTCAGGCGCCAAGCAGCTCCTGGGCTGGGAAGCCTTGGCCACCACCTCTGGCAGGGCCTGGGAACCACTGCAGCCCCTCCCGCTGCCAGCCAGGGTCCGGGGGCGCGGGGTGGGGGTTGTCCTGGGACCGGCTTCCTCAGGTCTGGCCTCTGGTGGGGAGGGAGGGCTGGGGGTACACCCCGTCAAGATGATCCGGGGGACGCAGAAGGCCCTGGGGCTTGGGGCAGCCTGCGGGGAGAGGAGAGATGAGGGGGAGTCTGATCCCGGCAAACGGCATGCCCTGAGCTGGGATGGGGGGTTAGACACGGGTGAGCCCAGCCCCTTCCTTGCGCGGATGGGAAAACCGAGGCAGGGGAGGGGAGGGTGGTGACTGAGTTTACTCAGCAAGTCAGAGGTAAAGCCGGGACTGGAACTCAGGTCCCTTCCCACCCCGCACTAGGGTTCCCCCACTTTCTGGCAGGGACGCCGGTTTCCCCGGAAGCACAGACGCAGGCCTACCTCTCACTGCCCATGTTAAACTCCGGGAGCAGGGCCCACGGGCACTGCCAGGAGTCTGCCCGTCTGTGCAATGAGGTAACTGCAGCACGGAGTTGGTGAGAATTCAGTGCGCTCACGTGGGCGTGGCTTGGAGCAGCACCCGGCCTGTTGTAAGCACTCGGCCAATATCAGCTCTTTGTCGAATTGACCTGAATGGCCTCTGGCCTCAGAGGCTGGGGCTGTCGTGCTCTTCTCAGAGTGGCCCCCTCGCCCCTTACTTCTGGAGCTTTCCCAAGGGCTTCACAGCCTCAAGGGGCGGGGCTCACATCCCTCGGCTGCACACACGCTCCGCAAAGCTGGAGCACTGTTTCTGTGTGCGCGTCGCCTGCTCTGGCTTTGGGGGAGCCCCCCACTCACTGACCCCCAACTTGAGTGAATTCTGGTCTAATTCAGACCAGCAGAGTCTTGTGCCAGGCACTGTCATATACGTCTTCATCTTGAGTCCTTACTATAACCCACGACATGGTGACCGCTCCTATGGTCCCCACTTGACAGATGAGGAAATCGGGGGTGGGTGTCATGTGATTCTCCCAAGGTCACTCACCCACAGCTAGTTAGTGGCAGAGCCAGGATTTGAACCCAGGCAGTCTGGCTCCAAGTCCAGGGCTCTTTCCACTAAAAGGAGCCACGGGGGAGATTCGGGAGGGGGCAGCAGGGACCTCAAGCCCCCCACCCAAGGTACCCCACCCAGCCCTGCCACCTGCTTACCTGGATGGAGACTGGGAAAGCAGAGAGGCGACCCATGCCTGCCTGGCTCCACTGCCCAGTGGCGCCTCAGGATGCAGAGGGTAAGCCAGCTCAACCAGCAGAGGGGCTTTGCCCCCTGGGCTCCTTCAGGTCTGGCTCCCAGAGGCCAGAGAGAGGCAGGAGCTGGGTGCAGTGGGTCAAAGTGCCAAGGGCACAGCCAGCCCAGGGGGCACCCCCTGCACACTGCTCATCCCCGGACGGCTCCTTGGACCGCTCTGTGCCCATCCTTTGCCCAGCAGATGGTTTTGTCCACCTGTCTGCTCCCCCTGGCCAAGGAGTAAAGCACCACAAGCCTCAAGCCAGGCCAGAAATTAGGTGGCGGCCAGCATGGAGCCCACGGTGGCCCAAAGGGAACCAGACAAGGCGGATGAGCATGTGTATGGGGGAGGCTGCCCTCCTCAGAGCAGAGGCTCTCCTGCCCCAACCTGACTGGGAAGACGGAGGGATTCCCAGACCACCTCCCCCAGTGCCCCCTCCTCGAGTGCAGTCCCCTGGGGGTGCAGACAGCAGGTCCACCCCAACATTCCCAAGAAAAGATACAGAGAAAATAAGTGCAGCAGGACAACAGCAAGGACTGAAGTTAGAGAGAAGGAAGAACTTCCCAGTGCTGAAAGAGCCAGCCGCCAAGGAAGGGCATGACTTTCTTCTCCTCCAAGTTCCCTGACCACTGGGGCCATGCGAGAGAGGGAGGCTGTAAGTGAGCCTTTCTCCTGGGGTGTCCTGACCCCCAGTGCAAGGCATAGGTTCTAGTGGGAGAGCCCCACCAGGCACCAGTGGCGGAGGAGGGGCTTCTGGAGCAGGGACTAGGCAAGGGCTCAGGACGAAGTCAGATTTTGAGTTGGACCTAAAGTCATGTAGTGAGCAGGATCCAAGCTCCAGTCTTGAACCAAGACAAAACCCAGGCTCTGGGTCAGCCCTAAACTCTGGCTGCAGCTTGGAACAAAATACCCAACTCAGAATCAAGCCTGTAAGAAAAATGCGGCCACGGCAGAGCGGGGAGTGGGGGGGGGCGCCAGGTACCAGACCGCTAGAGTCTCCGCGCCTGTCCTTGGAGCCGGGAAGGGGGAGTCCAGGCAGGCGGGGCTGTGGGAGCAGCGGGACTTGGGGAGGTGACTGGTGTGTTAACGGGTTAGCGTGAGAGGTGAGGAGAGGAAGGTGTGGAGGCACAGGCAGAGAGAGAGCTGTGAGAGGTGGGGGGCAGCCCGTTACCTTCCATGTGGGGCCCTGGGCTGAGCCCCCAGGGGGCCCCAGGTCCTGGGGTGCCAGCAAGATGGGGATCGGCTGGCGGCGGGGCGTGGGGGGGAGGGAAGACACTGAGCTTCTCTCAAACACCTGGGGAGCAGAAGGTGGGGGCAGGTTTGGAGAAGGGGGCACAGGGAGGACAGGGGTGCCGGTCTAAGGCCCACAGGGAGGGACCCCAGCCTTACTCCTTGGCCCCTCACCATGCTCACTGGCCACTCTGCCCTCCATCTCGTCTCCTCCTCCGGAGGCCTAGGTGGTCAGGGTCTCCAGCCACTTGGGGAGGGGGGCTGAGAACACTTGAGTATGGGCGGGGAGCTCAAGGTACTTGGGGATCAGTGTGTTAAAACACTCTGTCCTCAGAACATTCAGGGCTGGGTGTGTCAGAGCCTAGGGGGTCTCGGGGCAGTTGTGGGGGTGTCAGAGACTACAATGAAAACACTCAACCCTGCGAAGGCCCCCTCCCCCCATTTTACTGTGGCAGAGAAATCAAGGCAAGAAGGACGGGTTCCCGTACAGGCCAGCCCTTGGCAGGAGCACAGGACCCCAGTCACCCCCGCCCCAAGCCCCATACCCCGGGGTCATCTTGGTGGGGAAAGGGAGGGGCCTGGCTGAGGCCTCGGGACCAGGCATGCCCCTGACCCACCTCTAGCTCGGCGATGATGCGGTCCTCATCGTCCTCATCTTTGATGGCAGAGGCCATGATGGGCGGTGTGGAGGCTGGGCGGGCCACCTCGGACACGGTCCGGCGCAGCTTCACTTGGGGCTTCTGCACCTCCAGCTCCTCGGACTCGGCCTTCTGTAAGGCCCAGGCCCCCGTCAAGACCAGACTCTGCCCCCGTCCAGCAACAGCTCGCATCCTCGGCCCCATCAATGCCAGACCACTTCCTGCCCCAGCTCGGTCTGCCGCTTCCGCTGTCCCGTCCCCTGTCCCCTGCCAGGCGGCCCCCGTCCCACCATGGAAGCCTGAGCTGGAGGCAGAGTCGCCCTGCGCCAGCCCCCTTTTTCCCTTCCACCCCAGAGGGTCTTCAGAGGTCCCCTCGGGTATCCCGCCGCCCCAGGTGGGGTCGGTACCTTGATGAAGGCTGAATCCTTCTTGCTGGTGACCACCACCTCTCCCGTGCGCGTGGTGGTGAGGCCGTGGGAGGAGGGGAAGCTCCGGCGGGGCGGGGGCGGCGGGGGCGACTTGGAGGGCTTCTCCGTGCGGTACCGAGGCACTGTCAGCTCGTCTGTGGGCAGCCAAGGGGCTGGGGGTCAGGGGACCTTTAACCTTGGAGGCTGGGCACCCAGGAGAGAAACCTTGCTTCCTCCTCTGGGGAGGAGGGGACAGGGAAGCTCAGGGAGAGGACACAGGCCCCTCCTCCTTCTCTCTCACCTCCGGACGGAAGCCAGGCCGGCACCCCTCTTAGTGTACTCAAAGTGCGGCCCCCGGGCCACCGACCAGCAGCACCTGCAGCTTCTGGGAGCTTGTTAGAAATGCAGAAGCTCAGGTCTCTCCCACAGCTGCTGAACCAGAATCCACATTTTGACGGATCTTCCGGTGCTTTCATGCACACATTCAAGTTTAAGAAGCTCTGTCCTAATCCATCCATCTCTTTCCCCCTGCCCTTCAGCTGCGGCTCTGCACCCGTCTTCCTCTCTTCTCCATCAAGAGACAGCGGTTAAACTTGCAAGAGCCTGATGCCACCCATCAGGCGCTCCCTGCCCGTTTCTTCAGGGGTGGGGGCGGTTTCCAGGGCAGCCTACAGAAAAGTCACTCAAACCCGACCCTCCTCTGCCTTTGAGCCCCAGTGCCTTCCCATGACCCCAAACCATGTCCGTGCTCCTTGGCCCAGCGTCTTCCACGCGTGCCAATGTTTCAGCTTCAGCTCTGCTTGCTCCTTCCTGGCCTGAACCCCGCTCAGCAACACCAAACACACCCCTCCAGGCATTTGCAGGTGCCGTTCCCTCTCGCTGAAATGCCCTCACTCACTGGCCAGGGAAAAGCCTACTTGTTTTCAAGACTCCAAGGGGAAGTGACGTGCAGTGGGAAGCCCTCCCCGCCCTCCCAGGGCCTCCTGTAGGACTGCACCCCCCGGCTGCAGTTGGCACCCGCATCCCGTGTCTGGTCTGCACACTGAGCGGGGCCTGGGACAGATCTCTTCGCTACACTGAGCCTTAGTGTCCTCATCGGCAAAATGGGAATAATTACTGTGGCTGCCTCCTGGGGTTGCTGCAAAATTGTAAGGATTAATATATAGAAAGCATCTGGGGTAGTTCCTGTCACATAATATGTGCCTGATAAGCAAAAATGCTAGTATTACACGCCCACTAAATTTTAAGCTCCTTGAAAACAAGTGGTGTCTTTTCTCCTTATCCCCAGCACCCAGCACCCAGTACCCAGCACCCAGCACCCAGTAGGTGCTTGACAAATACAGAGAACAAGAATGAATAAATGAAGGAATGATGACTGCTATTTCTGGTCGGATTTCTGCCTCCCCTGTGAGCTCACAGGCTGGCGGGGGGGACACAAAAACCAGGTCCACGAGGACCAGCACCATGCCCGTCTCGGCACGGCCAGGGTCAGAGCACACGCTTGGTCACTCTTGCCCTGGACTTGCTCTCCTCCCTGTGTGGGCCTCTCAGCCGCAGTCAGGGCAGTGGGAAAAGCCCCGGATGGAGTCCAGCTCCCCTCTGTCCTCTGGGTCTCCCCACAGCGGCTGAGGGTCGGGCTGCTGAGGCCCCAGCACCTCCCCCCTCCGGCAGTCCAACCCCAGAGATATCCCGCCCAGGTGCCTCCCCCATCAACCCGAGAGCTCCTGAAGATGGGGCTCCCCTCGTCTGGGCTCTTCACCAGTCCCCTACCCGCCCCCATACCTGAGCCCCTCCTCCCACTGGGCTCGGTTCGCGGGGCTGCCTTCTGGCCGTGGGGGACCTTGGGGGGCTTGTGGTCAGGGGTGGGGGCCAGGCCTGGGTGGGCCTTGCTCGCACAGTCCAGGTCAGGGATGGCCTTCAGCAGCTCTGCCTGTGTCTCCTCCAGCAGCCGGTTGATGTCCTTGGCGCTGTACTGGGTCAGGGCTGCCCGCTTCTCCTCCCAGTCTCGCTCGGCAGCCTGGAAACGAGGAGCGGGGCTCAGCTGTGAAGCAGGGGCTGCAGCCCCTTCCCCCAGCCACACATGCCAGGAACGGAGAAGGAAGTTTGGTCCAGCCCCCAGGGGACCCTCAGACTTCTTGAGTATTCTCTTTCCCTGTAAGTCTGGAATGCCACCACCATCATATACTCCTCTCTTGATAATACTTAGCCCTGTTTTGGAACATTCTATTCTGTTTCATTGACCACATAGTCTATTCTTAGGCCAACACCACACTGCCTTGATCGTTATCGTTTTAGAAAATGTTTTTCTGTCTGGCAGAGCTCATGCCACCATCAATGTGTCTCTCAGACTTCCTCCTCCCCCAGGAAAAAGTACCCACGTGTTGGCGCTTCCCAATCTAGGATGGTGGTAAGAATGTGTGAGCTGAGCTCATGCACCCCCCTGTCCCCCGGGCCCAGCACCTCAACAGACACAGCCTTGTCCACGCTTCTCTTGCCAGCAGCATCCAGGCCTTTGGTGGGGTTGCCCCCCTTGGGAGTAGGAGGGGCTCCCTCGGCCGGCCTGCTCAGCTCGTGGAGGTTCAGTGGAGGGCTGGGGGGTGGCATTTCGAAGTCCAAGCTCTTGTTGAAGTCTGTCTCAGCCGTCACCTTCTTGGGGGACTGATTCAGGAGGTTGTTGGGGGGTGGCCACACACCCTCGTCCACTTGCCTGGGGTTGGGAGAGTTAGGAACAGTTGTGAGGCCCGCATGTTGGTGGCCCCATGCAAGCGAAGCCTGGCCTGGGGGAGGCAGGGTGCGAGGAGGGCTCTGGGATCTTGCAGGACAGATGGGGGGGCCTGGGGAGGAGTGACCGCATCCAGCATAAGGGAGAGCCAAGCCTACACCGTGCCAGGGGTCACAGGTCAGAGGGGAGGTACAGATCCAGTTGGCACACCAGTGACCTCTAGAGGAGTCAGGGTAAGGGGTCAGGCTAATCTATCAATGCCTGGCATGTGACCTCCTGGGGAATCGGAGGTCGGAGATAAGATGTCAGGGAGGGAAAGACCTTCGGATCTGGGCCAGCATGTCTGTGACCCCACGGCAGCGTTTGAGCAGCCCGTCCAGGCGCTGTGGCTCCTCCTTCAGGAACTTCACGGCCTCCACCTCCACACGCAGCACTACCCGCATCTTGCTCTGCAGGCCTGGGAAGTGAGCTGAGGCACCAGAGGAGTGAGCTGGGGAGGGAGCAGCTCCAAGGACAAGGAAGGATGGGCAGCAGGGAGGGCAGTGCCTGGGGGTGGGGCTGGGCGTGGGGGTACAGCAGGGACTGCGGGCCTGGACCGCATGCCACACTCTCGCCTCCTCGCCTCTGGGCTCACCCTTGAGCTCGGTCAGCGTCTCCCCGAGCTGCTTCAGCACCAGGGCCTTCTCCTCCAGCTCCGGCCCCGGCACCAGGCGGTGGTTGTGCGACACATCCCGCTGGATCTTCTCCACCGACTTCTCCAGGTCACTGCAACCAGAGAGAGACCCCTCAGCCCCTCTGGCCCCAGCCCAGCCCCCTGAAATTGGGCAAATGGCAAGAAATGAGGCCACCAGTCAGATCAAAATTAAAAGCCATCCACCAGGCTACATGCCCAAATGAAATCAGAAATGCCAAACCCCAGAGATAAGACTTCAGATGAGTTCCCTAATAGTTGCCCTGGGTCCCCCCCACCCCCGCCCTCATGGCGCCGTCGAAGTTCTGGTCCTTAGCAACATCAACCCAAATCTCTCTCCCTATAACTTGCATCCTCTGGTTCTCATTCTGCCGAGGAAGCAGGAGAGAACCTGGCGGCCTTTCAGGGAACTGCAGGCAGTTAGCTGCACGTGCCCCTACAAGGTCTCTTCTCTTGAGGGGAGGCACAGCCACGTCCCTCTACCCTTTCTCGGCTATCCAGATGCTCAGCCTCTTTCCTTGAGGACAAAACTGCTTTCAATTGTCAGAGGGTTTATGCTGAGCTTGTGCCATTTTAAACCCCACATCTTTCTAAAATGTAAGTCATACCAAGTCATTCTCCCCGTGTTGAACCCTACAGGGATCCCGTCATCCTGAGGCTGAACTCCAAGTGAAGAAGGGCATGAGGGTAGTAGGTGAAAATTTGGCTCTAGAGTCAGACAGATCCAAATTCCAATCCCAGCTCTGCCCCACCCAGCAGAGAGATCTTGGACAAGTTACCTACTATGTTCGGGCTACAACCTCATCCAAAAAATGGGGGTAATAAGAGTTCTTCCCTCCAGGGGTCATTGCGAAGATTAAATGAGCCAATGCAGGGGTGGCTGGGTGGCTCAGATGGGTAAGTGGTTAAGCATCTGCCTTTGGCTCAGGTCATGATCCCAGGGTCCTGCGATCGAGCCCTGAGTTGGGCTCCCTACTCAGCCGGGAGCCTGCTTCTCCCTCCCTGTGCCCCTCCCCCTGATCATGCTCTCTCTCTCTCACATAAATAAATAAAATCTTAAAACAAATAAGTGAGCCAATGCAAATGGGAAAAGGGTGGTAAAGGGTCAGTCCCTGGGGGCTGCTCTTAGTTTCCCTCCAGCCACATCCCCTGTCCTCATCCGGCTTGCTTTTGTTCAGAACTGTCCACAACTTCTCCAAGGTCCTTGTATGTGCTGCCCTCTCTGGGCCTTTATAATGCCATTTCCTCTGCCTAGAACACTCCGCTCACACACACACACACACACTCACACACATGCACACATACCCACACATGTGTGACTAATCCCCACTCCTCCCTCAGGTCTCAATGGGAACTGCTCCCCCACTCCCTACACTCGGGGTTGGGGGTCTGCTTCCTGCCTCACAAACCCTCCTCAGAGCTCTTGCAAGCTGGGCTGTGTAGCTCCTGGCAGGCAGGGACCATGTCTTCTGGATTCGTCTCCAAGTGCCAGCGTCTGGCCCGTTGCCTGGAGCAGAGTAGATGTCTGGTAAATAATTGTGGAATGAATGGATAAGTGAAAGAAGGGACTGCAGCCCTGGCAGGTCACCTCGATTCTGTGACTTGAGTCACTGACATCCCTGACCTACATGCAGGACTTTACATACATCCTTGTCACATCCCATCTGCTGGATTTCAGCTCAATAATCCAGGTGGAAACAACTTTCGGCTCACAGTTCTACCATCCAACAGACTTGCTCCCCCTCAAAGCGCTGTGTCACTAGCAAATCTTATCAGCATGCCTATACATCTTCATCCAACTAGTGGATGAAAAGACCACACTGGGGGCACCTGGGTGGCTCAGTCGTTAAGCGTCTGCCTTCGGCTCAGGTCATGATCCCAGGGTCCTGGGATCGAGCCCCGCATCGGGCTCCCTGCTCAGCTGGGAGTCTGCTTCTCCCTCTCCCGCTCCCCCTGCTTGTGTTCCCTCTTTCGCTGTGTCTCTCTCTGTCAAATAAATAAATAAAAATTAAAAAAAAAAAAAGACCACACTGGAGCAAAGACAAAATCCTGTGACTCAGCACTGCCATCTGAAGCGCTCTCTTGTACTGAGCACTTACTTTACACCAGGTGCCATGGGCAGCCCTCCACTTTCATTACCTTATTCAATCCTCACCAACAGTCCTGGGCGTGGAAGCCATTAGTACCTCCCGCTTACACACAAACCGGAGCTCAGACACCAGACTACATTTCCCAGCGTCCCTTGCGGTTAGAAATGGCCACGACTCAGGTCCAGCCAACGCAATAGGAGTTGAAGAGGAACATGCTGCTTCCAGGCTGTCCCATAAAAACCTCCCACGGAAGCTCCTCCATGCTCCTTTCCCCTTCCTATGGGTTGAAAGGCAACAACCCTGTGCATGATTTGGAAGGCACATATTGAAGATGGCCAAACGTCCATTAGCCTAGGTCCCTGAATGGTTGCATGGAGGAGGGTCATTCACTAACCCACCCAGTACTGTTCCGTGAGAAAAAAAAGGATAGGTCCGTTACTTTTGAACCATTATATGATTTGTTATAGCTGTTACCCTAACTAATACAATGACATTTGGCATTAAAAAGAAAAAAAAAGGGGGGGGGCTCAGAGAGATGAAGTGGCTTGTCGAAGGTTATACAACTATTTTGTGGCAAAGCAGAATCTACTCATGTCTGACTTCAGCCATTGGATCATGCCATACCCATCCCTGTCCTGCCCAGCCCATGCTCTGCCACGTGGGAAAGAACCACTGTTCTTCCCTGCTGTGTGTGACACCTGGCTGGCTCAGGGTGTGCCGGTTTTGTAAAATGGTCACTCCTGAACATCACTCTGAGGGGGAAGAGAGACTCTCATTTAAAGGAGGACTCAGGTAAGCCTTTGGGAGGACACAACAGTGCAACTCTCGGGCAGGACTAGGTCCTCCATAGGCTCAATTAGCACCTCGATTTTCTGATCAAGAAACCTGCCAAAATTTGGGGAGGGTTGATTTGGAAAGCCTCTGCAAATGAGCCCCAGACTGGTCCAAGTCTAGTCACCATTAGCAGAAAGTGGCTGGGCTTTCCCCGACCCAGGTTCAGTCCTGGAGGGGTGGAGAGCACAGGGTCAGGACAGAGCCAGCTCTATAATTTATGGGGCCCAATGAAAAATGAAGATTTTGCCCCTTAAAAAATTATTAAGAATTTCAAGATAAGGATGCCTGGATGGCTCAGTCGTTAAGCGTCTGCTTTCGGCTCAGGTCATGATCCCAGGGGCCTGGGATCGAGTCCCAAATCGGGGTCCCTGCTCAGCCGGGAGTCTGCTTCTCCCTTCTCCCTCTGTCACTCCCTCTGCTTGTGCTCTCTGTCTCTGTCTCTCTCTCTCTGACAAATAAATAAATAAAATCTTAAAAAATATAGAATTTCAAGATAACAACAGCAGAGCATGGAGCCATTAGGAGCATGGGGACCTGTGTAGCAGGCCTACAAAGCCTGTGCTGGCTTAGTCCAAGTTAGGCTCCAGAGGCCAAAAGTTCTCAAGTCAGCAGAGGGTACCCCTCAGAGCAATGTCTAGACAGAGCTCAAGTGCTTGGCTAGAAAAACAGGTGAGAGAACCATGCTGAATGAAGCATGGGATTGGCTTTAACTTCCAGCAAGATGCTGGGGCAAGAGGAAGGGGCAGAGCAAAGCATACAGGAGCTGCAGCCAGAGCAGGGATAAGGATGGGCCTGCTGGTCAACCTAATGCCCAGGGAGGCTATGGGAGCTGGCAGGGAGGGCTCTCATAGCCAAGCCAGAGCCACTGCAGGGCTGATGTCCAGCCCAGCCCAGGCCGCCCCCCCAAAAAAGCAGGAACCCCCTTCAAAGTGCATGGAGAACCCTAGCAGAAGCAATGGATCAGCCCCCAAGCCCTCTCAAGTGAGCAGCTTGAACAGGGGGTTTGATAACAGGACAGAGGGTAGGGAGTCTGTGTGCTTCCGGAGAACTGAGGCCCCCGGGGAGGCGGAGGACCAGACGCGCCTGTGACATAAGATTAAATCTGTCCTTTCATCTCTTCTGCCTCTGTGCTTTTATATTTTCTTTTATTTTCCTTTAATGTCTCAGGAAAGTTCCTTTTAAAAATCCCAACCCAGCTCCTCTGTGCTGAGTGAAAAGGGGCAAGGAGAGGACAGAAAAGTTGGGTAAATGGAATTCTCTGGGTGAGGGGGGGTGACTGCTGCCAGTCTACTTGGAGATCTGACTGAGGTTGTCACTGAGCTTTCACACCTGAAATGATGGGGTGGCTGCCGCCAGATTATTTCCAAGTGAGAGGGTCCCTTACTTCATCTCAGCCACAAGGGCTCATGGGACTCTTTGCTTTCCACCCCACTGAAGTACACAGGCTGTGTGGGCCCAAGGCTGAGAAGTAGGGACCGTTCTCAAGGAGCCCCTTTTGCAAGCTGGGCTCTTCTGAGAAGCCTCTCCTGGCTCCCCAAGTCATTGGCCAGTAGAACCCAAACCCTCCCTGGAGAGAACTGCAAAAATCTCAATACTGGGCACAGATAAGGAAGCTGAAGCACAGAGGAGGACAGAAACTGCCCTGATCACATAGTCTCTCAATGCTGGAGCTGGACCTCGGGTCCCTTTGTGCCCTGTGCCACCAAGAGGGAGGCCAGAGAAAGGAGCAGACCCCAGTGACTGACAAGAGAAGGCTGCTGTGGGGTGGGGGTGCTCACTCAGTGGATGGACAGCAAAAGGCAGCTTCTCCCTTCAACAGTGCCAGACAATGGGATCTTGGCCAGACAGCCATTTGCTAAATTTGGATCAGAGGACTGTCTCCCGTTAACCCTTCCATGTCTAAGCATTTGGGAGCTGGGTGTTCTCTATTCCTCACTCCTCCTGAAAAAGCTAGAGCTTTGTTTTAGCAGCACCAGGCCGGGAGGAAGGTTTTCCTTGGCGATACCTGGTCTCAAAGATCAGGGAATTGGAGTGGCGGCAGTTGCGGCTACCCAAGGGTCACTCTGTATAGGTCACGGCGCAGAATGAAAGCAGACAGAGGACAGAGTAGAATCCTGCAGCTGGCCACATGAAAGTAAGGCCGCGGGTCGCGGGAAGCCAGATGTGGACCATGAGGAAGCAAAAACATAGCAAAAACAGGGCATCAAGCCAGAAAAAGAAAATAAATCAGGAATTGTGCCAGATGGTCAAAGGTTTGTGGGTCACAGAGAAATCAGGCCACAGGGGAGAAGGAAATCAGGCTTCAGACCAGACCAACGTCACCTGTCATTCAGAAGGAAGGGAGCTGCGCCTCCCAGGGAAACCAGGTTGCGGCCCGAGGCCGCTCCCCCGGCCCTCCCTCCTCCCTCCCTCCTCCGCCCGGGAGCCCAGCCTCACTTGAGCTGCTGGGTAATGAGCTCCTCGTCGTTGAGATAGCGCAGCCGCTCCTCCTCCACCAGGGTGCGCTGCCGCTGCAGCGGGTCCTCCTGCCGCCGCGCCGCCTCCGACACGCGCATGCTCAGCTCCGCCTCTGTGCCTTTCAGCAGCGCGCGCAGCGACTCCAGGTTTTGTAGCTGCGGGACGCAGAGGGACCGATGGACCGGAGTGGGAGGGGATGGAAGTACTCGGCAGGGGAAAAGCCGGGG